CCTCAGCTAGTTACTCATTCTCTTTTCTGATGACTCTTCTCATACAGTTTCCCTCTCTCTTTGTCATATTCTTCCCATTTTCCAATTTCCTCAGTGACGCATTCGGCAACATATCCATTCCGATTCCGTACAGGATTCATTTCCTCATCTCCTTCTCTTCCGTTCGAAAACTCGGTCATGTAATGAGCTTGCACACACAAAAAACGCCTTGTCCTTGACATATACGGTCGAAATGAAACTGTTATGCAACTTGGCGCCCTTCTCTCTCTCTTCCTTTTCTAAACTTTTGTTCTTTATGTCTCATTTCCATTTCCCCCTTCTTGTTCCACTCGCCACAGCTCATTTGAGTCGAACAATACGGGCGCCTCCTTGAACGAAAAAAAGGAGAAGGTCGTACCGAGCGAACGACTACTATTTTTGAAAATTGACTTCTCTTGTTTCGAGAAAAATAAAACTCTTTTTTTTGTTATTCAAATTATGTCGAGTTATTTTTTTTTTGGAAAATGACGTGATGGTGGTCTCGCATAGAATATGAACTGTTTAACTGCTTCTGTTTTAGCTCGTTCTCAACGCTGTGCCACGGCCGGCCGCGACTTCAGAAAAAATATTTGAAGAAGCTGCGGCTAGCCGAGGCCGTCCGTGCGGCTTCTCACGGCCTGTTAAAATAATTGTTTCATGATAAACGTAGATTTTTTTTTGAAAAATAGGACAAAAAAAATAAATTCTTCAAAAACTAAATGATTTTTAATTCACGCGTTATTATAAGAATAGCCGCGGCCGGCCTCGGCCTCAAAAATCGAGCCGCGGCCAGCCGCCATTTTGCACAGCATTGTCTAAATTTACTGCTTCTTTAAAAATATTTTTTCTTCTGAAGTACACTTTGCAGAAAAATATTTCTGAAAATTTCAAAAAAATGTTTCGGCCTAACTTTCTCAACATGGATTTTCTAGGCCACCGCAGTTGATGATCCAGAGATGATCTAACATGAAACTGACCTATGTATACACAATTTTCACAATTTTCGTCCACCATCCGTTTAGCTCACCATTGTGAACCTTCGAATGAATTAAGTTGAGCTACTTTCTCTTCTTCTCTTTTTTATATATTTTTTCCTTTTGACTTGTTTTTGTTTAATTTTCTCTATTTTCCTTTCCCCTATAACATATTTATAATTTCCACTGGATTCTCTTTCCATTCGCTTTTAAATTTATTTATAATTGACTCCTCCAGAAGTTCCTTTTTGATCATCAATCGACTATGTTCCCATACTTTTTAAAGTTTTCAATTTGCAAGAAAAAAATTTCACTTCCGCTTTCTGACGTTTTGTGTTTTGAAATTGGTATTTGGTGGCCGAGTCGGATTCTAGACCATCGAATGTACTCCAAAAATGTGAATTCTGTGTATTTCCAGAGTAACTATAATTCAATATATGGGTTTTGCTATAACTAGCTATAACTAGACAAATCATAAAGATATTTATTCTGGGGGTGTAGACAATTTGAGATTTCTGGTTCCTGATTGTGGGTGGATTCATTTTTGCACACACATCTGATTCAAAATATTTTATTTCACAAATCATGACTCGAGTTCATTACATGTGTTCTGTACATTTCCATCATAAATCAAAACCTCAGATTTCTGGACCTGAAAAATTTTGAAAAAAACACTCTGAAAATCAAGAAAAATTCAAGTATTCTGGCTGCGGCCACGAGGGACTAGAAAACTCAAGCTCGTCCCGAAGGGCCAACTTCCGAAGAAATCTTTTTTTAAGTTCGTTTTCCTCAATTAAGACATTTATTTTCTTTGGGATTTTTCTTTATTTTTATGCGAATCTATATGATTTTCCATGTAAAATAAAGCCACCGTACACCACCTTGAAATTGAAATTCAGATTCGAATTTCAAATATTCATGAGCTCTACGGAGTATGTAAATCAGAATTCGGAGCACATCATTCGAATTTCAAAGTTCTGAGATTCAAAACTTTGCATCTTCGGGCCAAAACTAGTGGAATCATGACCAAAGACTCTCAGAAATGTTCCTGGAATCTGACTTCTTCTCTTTGCACCCACTTCCAACCCTCATGATTTTCCAAGAACCCTCTTTTTCTTCTTTCCAAATCTATTTCCATGCAGAGAGGAGTTTAATATCACTGCCATTTGTATCCGAAAACGATGTTTGCTGACTTTTTAATGTTGCCAAACAGCGGATTCCCTTCGAAATTACTTTCCATATATTCCCTTTGCTTCCTCAATTAGTCCCCAATAACAATATTTGCCCTCTCTCCTTGTTCTTTCGTCTTGTTTTCATGAAAAGACACCCTCCAAGGCTATCAATTTTGAGTTGGTCATATTCTTCAAGAATACAAAATTGATGCCTGGTGGTGCCAATGACGTGAGAGGCATCTGACTTGAAAATGGAGTAGGTCAGAGCATTTTTGAATTCGGGAAAGTCATTCGATTTGGATAAATACTCCAAAATAAAATCAGAAATTCTCTGATCTTTGAATGTAGTGAAAAAGGTGTTAGATGACAATTTGAACCTCCGAAAAACTGCGTCAAATATACGATGTTTGATATGTTCTATCTAAACTCAATTATCGTATTTTGAGGAAAATAGTACGAAGAGTTGTTGATCTGTGTAGCAGATCTGAGAGCTCTACAAGTTGGCGCATAGCTACAAAGCTCAAGTTTGTACTATTATAAAATGTGAATAAAGCGTTCTATTGTGCTCAAATTTGGAGTGCAAAAATTCATAGAATTCATCAGTAAACTGACAAAATTTCAAATTAATTGGTCACCTTTGAGCTGAGTTATTGCTTGTTGAAATCTCATGAAAATCACATCAGGAGTGCAAGAAACGTTTTATCTTTGGTCAATCATAACAATACCAAGACTTGAGGAATCGTTTTAAAGTTTTCAATAGCTTTGAATGAAACGTTATATTTCTACCAATTTTCGTGATTCCAAGATGGGTGTTTAAAACTATACCCGGTTTTATCAGTCCGAGTAATTGGGCGCCATCCTAGTTTAGTTGATTATCTTAAAGACTCAAGATTGCTCAATGATCTGAAGCATATGACTGATGGAAATCTGAATTTGAGAACATTTGGTTTATGAATTCTGGAACTTCACGAGTCTAACATCACGAGGGTTCCAAGAAGTATATAAATGTTATTCGGATAGGGGAGACAGAGTTCCATTTGATCTTAAACTTGAAATGTCGAGGTTAAGATCAAAGGGAACATCTTATCAGCTTCTTTAGTATTTTAATTTTACCAGCCTTGACTTCTAAATACAAAACTACCGTACCTTTTAAACCAAAAGATGAAAAAACAGGAACGATCAGACTATATCAAGACCTCTGTATACGTGCCAATCCTTAACGTTCCCATGAATTGAACTATAGACCGTTCTCAGGAACCAACGTCACTTTCTCGCTATGCTCACAAGATAATGTCTCCCACAAGTTGAACTATTAGAGTCTTTTCTTATTTCGTCATATGCAAAAAAGTAGTCTAGTAGTCTCGAAAGGAATCTAATTATAGGTAATACTTTTCGTTTGGTCTGAGAACCTTGGACGCATCGGTTCCGCCTTATTCCTCACATTCATTGTCGGAAAAAGGAGAGATTTCAAATGTTTATTTTAGTCTCTTCACCTCTTTTTCTTCGGACTCATTATTTTTTCATACATATCCATTCGATCCTTGTGATACGGAAATAACACATTAGTGACCCAGTTATCTCTGCCACCTCATCATCCGAGAATTTGTGGGTCGAAAAAGGGGGCGTGGCTTGTGTCTCGGAAGGGACACTTGCTCCGCCTCTGTTTGCAAAAGAGAGAAGGGGAGCAACCACGAATTTTTTCATTTTGTTTTTATCGTACGACACAACAGTTGGGTCATGTTTTACGAGTTTTTTCTGTGGTGGGCGGTTTTTTATAGTGCTCATCTTTCAAAGTTTCATATAAACAGGAGGATTCAGAAGACGTCGAAAGCTTCTGAAATGAAAAAGTAGGTACGCTTGTCTGGATAGAAGATAACGTTTCAATGTCACACTTACTATTCGGATTACGGTAGGTGATTTTGAATTCGTAGCGAAAAACGACCCGTTGTTTTTGTACCATTTTGGGCTGTTTTTGCTCCGTTTATTGGGGTTTCGGTAAAAATTGGTCGGCGACGACTCAAAAAAGGACCAAAAACAGACCAAAAGTTGTTAAAAACGACCCGTCGTCGTTTTTGGGCTATTTTTCGTCCAAAATCCGAAAACGGTCGATGGCTCAAAAACGGTTAAAAAACGGATCAAAAACAGACTAACAATGAGCTAATAACGACCCAAAAACGGAACAGGAACGGACCGAAAATTGGCCAGAATGGCAGATTTTTTCAGAGTTTATTTGAGGTTTGGGTATGTATTCTGACGTAACGATGTACAGTATAATTCCTCTAGGGGCACGGAATTTCGCTTCATTTTCTATTCTTCAACTCCTTCATGACCTCCTCAAGGAACGCAGATATTCTATATCCTCTCACTTTTCCTCACCTTTCCCTTCTTTACATTTTGTCATCCAATTAACGTTTATGACCAATATAATATAATAAAGGTCAGTTTGTTTTGTAGAAGTCCGTTTTACAAGTCCAATTAGTTTTACAAGGGGTGCAAACTAACTGCTGCCACGTCATCTGGAATCCTCTTCTTCTTCTTTCATTTCCTAATAAAATGATGTCAATGAGTAAAAATAATAAGAAGAAGACCACCAAGAGCCGACCCACTTGGAATTTCTGATATCACATTATTCAAAAAGGAGAAACTAATACTATTTCTCATGACCTTTTTCCTACTCTTTTCCCATCCTTCTTTTCTCACTTTTCTTACCTTTTTTTCTCGAACGTTTCAAAGTGTCTAATTACATGCCTATACCTCTTCTTACCCTCTCGATCCTCCTAATTCCCGAATCTTCGAAAATTGAACCTTCTCAGGCAATCAACACCACTTTCAAACGATGCAACTCTCCGCCGTTTTCGTCTTTTTGGTTCTCTGCTTGGCCGCGGTTTTCGCTGTTCCGCTTAAAGATGGTAAGAGAGAAGTTACAGTATTTTGGATTGCGATAAGTCAGGCTTGAATTCGGTTAGGAAATTCATTTCATAATTAGAGATGATGAATTCATAAGATTCAAAGTTCACAAATTCAATTTTCCAGCTTCCCGTGCTCGCCGTGAAGTCGCTCCATCGGAGAAGCGTCAAACGAAATCTCGTTCTGGATACATCCGCTTCGGAAAACGACGAGTCGACCCAAATGCCGAACTTCTCTACCTTGACCAACTTCTTCTTTAAAGAGCTCTTCCACGTCTTCATCATCAACACCATCAACATCTTCCGCCACACGAAATCCACGTCATCACACACAACAATACCGTTCCTTTTTCTCTTTCTCTGTGTCTCGTCTAGTCTCTGTCTCTCTTTTCTACAGTAATCCCTTAAACTATTCTTGAAATCCATCCCATCGTTGTTACCATCCACCCCAGTCGTCACCCCATCTTTTCGGTCATCATTCATTTTTCTTGTCGTATGAATTTATTCGTTTCATATTTCTTTAAAAAACAAGCGAAGATCTCGGAAGAGCTTTGCGTTTGATTGTTTCCCCCCCCCAAATCAACCATCCCATTCTCTTCTTTTCGTTGTCTTCCCATCCCGTCTCTTCTTCTTCTTTCTCTCTTGGCTTGTCCAATCGGCCCACGCATTCTCTTTTTTGTTTCGATTGTCTCGCATTCCAACGTATTTTGAAATCTGAAATACAACAGCGAATAAAAAACGATTTGTTGTTTCGAATTTAGTTGAAAATGGCAAAACTCATGATTTAGCAGTTTTCGGTTAGGTTACTTCTGGGCCAGATAGGATTCGGCGGCCTGGGAGCGTAGAGCCGAAGATCCTGTAGGCTGATCGATACACAAATAAAAAAAGGTCCCCTCTACATAATGCGCTCTACCGTACACTAGCTGGCTGTCAGCACGGTGAGTTTTTCACTACCGCTGCAGCGCGCTGCTTTCAACTTTGGAATTTTTTTCTCAAATTCTAGCCCAAGGATTTTTTTTCGTTCCTTTCGGTAGTGAAAAACTCACCGTGCTGTCAGTAACTGCTCGCCTCTTTTTTTGAAATCGGCCAAGTATTGATTCTCGAAGTTGTATATTTAAAAAAACATCAATCTCGCACAGATGATATTTCTTGGTCCCGTTTTTGCTTTTTGGCAGCTTACTGGTCGAAACAACTTGCCAAAACAATCACAACAAGGTATTCCTCTACTAAAGCTGCCCAGACTAGCGCTACTCAATTGTATCGAAAATTTGGATGTTTTGGAAATGCAAGTTTTTTTAAACGTTTCTTCGATTTGTTTGAAATACCAATAATGACATAAAAATAGACTGTTTTTTGTGGACAGCAGAACTATACATTTTCCCTATTCACCTTCTCCACAGTAACATAGACCTTTGTTTAGAATCATTCTCTCTCGCCTCTCAAAACGTGCGAAATCTATTGCAAAACTCATTCGTTGGAATCATTTGAACATTCGTTTGAAATCCAGTGAATGTGCTCAAATTTGCTTAAGGCTTTCTACTCATCCAGGACTGGTATGGATTATCGATCACATTAAGAACACAGAATACCATTATTTCCAATCCATTCTAATTGACCCAAAAGTATATTATCTTTGTTCAAAAGGATAATGGATATTTTGTTGCAGACATAAAAAAGATGCTTGAACACACCTGTGAAGTGTTTCGTTCATCAATTTGCGAAATTGATATTTTTGACGAATCCCAAATCGAATGGCTTATCAACTTTCAACCGAAGATTCGTTACGTTTCTACAGGGTCCGCCAAAATTACGTGTGCAAGTGTAGATGACGTTATCTCCAGAAGTAGATGCGAGATTAAGACGAAATTTAACAGATAGTTTATTTCAACGCTTGAAATCATAATTCAACAAAAATTATTCGATTCTACCTCCTTTGGCAGCGACCACGGCACGAAGTCGTCGAGGGAAGGCATCAATGGTGGCACGCAGGTATTCGACGGATAATTTGTCCCATTCCTCAGACAACGACTTCTTCAGGGCCTCGATATTTGCATGAGGTCTTGCGCAGACCTTATTCTGCAGAACTCCCCATACGGAGTAGTCGAGCGGGTTCAGATCAGGCGACGAAGCCGGCCATTCGTCCTTTGGTATGAAGGCGGGGAAGTGGTCCTTGCACCACTGTTGAGCCATTTTTGCGGTATGAGCAGGCGCTCCATCTTGCTGGAAGATGTATTTCTTCTGACCGAAGTGGTTTTGAGCCCACGGTAGCACATGCTTCTCCAGAATCTCCTCAACGTAGTATTTTTGGTTGATTTTCACGCCTTTATCAACGAAAACAAGCGGACACTTCCCATCATAGCAAACCGCTCCGAAAACCATGATGCTCGCAGGATGAGAGGCTCGATGGATTGTTTTACCACGCTCAGCTGCTTGTTGAATATTTGTGGCCAGCACTCGGTGGTTTTGGCTATTAAATTCAGCCTCGACACTGAAGAGTTTCTCGTCCGAGAAGATGGTGATAAGATGATCCATTTTGCGCGTGCCAGCGAGAAGGCGCTTCGCTTTGATGAGCCGTTTCTCCTTATTGGCTTGGGATAGAATAGCAGCTTTTGTTGCTCGATAAGAGGTCATCTTCAGCTCTTTTCTGACAATTCTCCTCATTGATGTATAGGAGATATCCATGTCATCTGACATCTTTTTCATGGAACGATGAGCATTTCGCCTGACTTTCTCCCGGACGGCCTTGACTTTCGCTGGAGTTCTTACAGTCCTCGGTCTTCCTCTTCCCGTACGGTCCTTGAGGTGGCCAAGCTGGTTGAAACGACGGATGGTCGCGAAAACCGTGTTTCGGTGCACTCCGAGTCGTTTAGAAATGTCTCCTGTGCTTAAACCTCGCTTGTAAAAGTCGACGATCAGAGTACGATGAGGACTTGCCGCTGTCATTTACCTAAAACATAACCGATTGGGATGAAACTTGGCAAACTAATAAATAATGAAATAATTAATAAAAATTTTAAAAAATTGCGCACCAAAAGTGCGTCAGTGCGCAGCGCCATGGCGTCAAAGTTGTGCACACGTAATTTTGGCGGACCCTGTATTGCAAACAATCTTGTCACACCCGGCAAAAAGTTGGATCGTATTTTCAATAGTCTCAAAGTTACTGAACATTTTCGATTGGGATCTATTGCAACAAACTTAAGAAATTCCAAACCAACTGGTTGTGAGAACTTTCGTATCACGGAGCTAATTCCATTCCCTTCTATTTCAATCAGCAACTCCTATTGGTTGACTTTACCATCAATTCTCAATGGAACCAATTCGGTCATTTGCCTATATGGTTCAAAATTAACATCAAATGATATCAACACTATCTTTACTATTAACAATCACCAAATTCTGTGTGTGAGTGTGTGTGTCCGTTTGTTCCCGTATCACCTTCCCTAACGAAGTCCAGAATGAACCAAATTTTCCCAAATTTTCACAGGTAACCCGAAATAGCAGCTAGATGATGCAGGAATATTTAATATTTCGAAATTTTGTGTCTGACGTCTTCCGGAGACGTTCTTCAATTTCTACAGTGCAAATTTTTAGAAAAATATTGAAGAAATATTCACGTCATTTCCGCCTAACCGCCCAAATGTTTTTCTTATCCACGCTATATTTGAGAGAAAGGATTTTGTGAAAATATTCTTTTAGTATGGATTTTAAAGATTTGAAAGGAAGAAAAATTCTGAAACAGTGTAGAAGAAAGAAAATAAAAGGAAAAAAAGAAAGAAACAGAATGCGAGGGAAAATGACAGCGCCCTTTCTGATCAATCGATTTTTCAGAATTCAGAATAATTTTTAAAATTTCCGAACTTAATTTCATATCTTTCAAATTTCGGACTATATAAATTTCTGAGATCTTATTCACCGATATGCCAAAAAATTTCAAAGTTTCAGATTTTCCAACATTTCAGGTTTTCAATTTTCGGAATGTCTAAATTTTCGAAATTTAGAGTTTTTGAATTCTGAAATCTACATTTCCGATTTTCCGAAGTTTAAAAAACTTTTCGACGAGACTGTGTTTCGAAAAGTTGAATTTCTGAATTTCTAATTTTTTCTCAAATTCTCGATTCTAAACTTTTTTGAAATTCTATAAATTTTGCGAACAGGGCCGTTTCAGGCCAGCCCGGCATTTAGTAAGTATGCAAAAATCTGAATTTTCCGATTCCTTAAAATTTGATATACCAAAATTTGGGTATTTGAGACACACAGATTGAAACACTTTTCTAGATTTCAAAATTAATGTTTTCCTACATCTGATTTTTAAAAATTTACTAATCTCTGAACTTGCGAGTGTCTTACTTTTTCAATTTCCGGATTTTCTTACTTCCGACTTTCCGAATTTTAGGAATTCTAAATAACCAAAATATCGAATTTCGAAATTTCCTAACAGACCATGAAAAAATAGTCCCTGTAAAAAAGAAAAAGCCTGTCTATAAGATAACGGGTCCTGTAAGCGGGAGCCAGGAGGCTCAGCCCGGAGGGGCGCAATCCGACTGTTTTTCAAAATTCGGAAATTTCGAAATTCAGAATTTTCGGAGAACAGAAAGTTTAGTAAACCTGACATTTAGTTATCTAAAGTTTGAAACTTCAGGAAACCGGGAGTTCACATACTCCGGATTTCAGAACATAAAAAATCTTTTTTCAATAGTTTGGAAATTTCGAAAATTTGGGAAATCAAATATTCCTCGAAGAAAATTGATAGTATGCAAAACTTTCACAAAATTTGGTGAATTCGGAAACTCGAAAATTTTTAAATTAGAAATTCAATTGTATATATGTTCATTGTTTTGTAAACTCTCCTCTTGTTATTCAATTTATTTTTGAATGAAAATTGTGTTTATTAGTTACTCGCTCATTTTTGATAACTATCCTAATCCTCATTTTAGAAAAGTAACGTAATCCTCAAATTCAAAAAACTACAAATTCAAAAAATTTGAATTTCTCAATGTTTTTCAGGATATAATTCAATTAGGATAAGCCTGACATGTAGGTGGCAACATACTTCAAACGTCATCTTTTTGTTGTGATAAGGTTTTTCCAACTATCTAGAACCTATTCTTTAAAAAAAGGAACTGCAAATTCAAATTTGATAAATAGAAACGATAAATCAAAAAATATAAGTTCTCATAAATTTTTTTTAAGTTTAGTGATATGTCTGTGAAATTTTGGGTTCAATCAATTTGATGCACCCCGCAAAGTCTACAGTCGTTCCTTTTCTTGTTCCCGAACGTTGACTTCTTTCACTTAAAATTCAACAAACGAGAGCATGTGATTTTTTGATTCAATACAAGCCCATCAGAGTGTAGTCTACACCACAAATCCTGGTCCAATATTAGATTTCCCTATTTTCCGAGAATAAATAAAAACCGGAATAAACGACTGAAGTCATAGGTCAATCTCCGTAGCAACACTCAATCGACATCCATAACAAGTTTATTAGGATTTTCGGTTTCTAATTGTTTTTCCATAAAATGTTGTGAATTCAATTTTCATGGTTTATATTTTCCTAGAAAGTTAAAAGAGCAGAGACCGTATGCGAGATTATTTTCCAGTGCCTGGAAAATGAATTCTTAAGTGCTTGTGTTCATTTTTAGTCATTTCATAGCCCAGGACTTATTTTAATATTCAAAAAAATTTTTGAAGATTTTTCTGAAAATATTTCCATACACACTAAGATCATTTTCCGCTTTCTTGCATACCACATCACTAGTCAGATATAAATTTTAAATCTGCTTTGACTCCTACTCATCATTTCTTCTTTGTAATAAAAAAAAACCAAAAAACTTACAGTTGAATGATTTCCAAACTTTGAAATATGTGTTTTGTAGTTTTCTAGTTCAGCTTTGTAGTTTAATTGTTTCGATGATTACTTGAGATGATAATCTTTATCATCAAATTCAAATTTTAGTTCAAAAAGTAAGCAGGAATAAGAATTCATTACTGGTTATAAGAAGATGATATTCGATCCGCAAAACATTAAGTTCCTCCATGGCCTAGATTTTCCTAGTCCACTGATTTCCGATTGCTGGATAGCTGCTATAATTGAATTCATTCTGATCTGATAGTTAATGATTCAGCATTATCTCAGATTCTTCTTCTCCCTCCTCCCTTCTTCTCCTTATTTATTGGTCCCTATTTTTTCAATCATATAAAAAGTCTCATTTTTTAAATCTTTTATAGTTCTAAACTTACTTCCAGAATCATTTTTTTTGCAAAAACTTGATTCATTTGTTCCCAAGATTCCCACGGAACACCAACTTGTATTCTTTGTTTTTCTGATTACGTGACGATTGAACTTCTGAAAAGTCTTCCAATATTCTCCAGATTTTTTTCTCGCAAAGCAATTCCAAGATAACTTCAGAATCAATCTCTTTTTCCGTGTCAAATAAATTTTCCGCGGAAGTTATCAATTGGATTTTCTAGTCTCTCTTATCTCTCTCCCTTGTGTTTCTAGGCTTTCCTAATATTAATTTAATTTCAAAAGGCTAGATACGAATAGACTTTTTTGCTTTTGATTCTCAGTTTTCAGCCTCTTTTTGCTTTCATATCTCAATTTTCCCTTTCAGTTAAAAAACTTGATGAATGAATCGACGTCGACGATAAGTAATGATGAATTGCAACTTGATTTTGTGGGACTCGGTAAGAAACTTTCGGGAGCAATTAGGAGTAATTAGTATAAATTACAGGACCAGTGGAATTCCCTGTCTATGATAGTGATGAATATTGGGGTCGGGAGGTTCCGTATGCAGTTTTTATTCTGATATTTTGCATATTTTTTATTATTCTCCAATTTCTTGTTATGCGAGTCATGATTACGGATAAGGATCTGAAAAAGTTACCAGCTTTTCAGGTAGATTTTCAAAAATTGAATTCACAGGAACCCAGATATATCGGCTCAAAGTTAAAATTGGCTCCTTCTATTACAGTTTTTACGGTATCTGATACACTTCAAAAAGTTTCAGATAATGTTCATGATATCTTTTTTCGACACAATTCAACTTTTTGTTCATCTCACCGCCGTTTTCTATATTTTGAATTCTAAGCCACATTTCAATCTTCCGGATTATGTAAGTTCATTCAAATTCATCGCAACCATTAATACATGTTTTTATACAGTTAATAGGAGCAGTAATGAATGCATCTTGGGTATCTATGCTCATTCTAAGTATATTTCTAAATCTCAATCGACTTATTTCCATTGTTTTCCATTTTAAATCTAATCGAATTTTCAGTCCATTCACTATGAAAGTGAGTCTAACTTAAAGGGGGACTCCGACCAAAAAATTATATTTGATTTTTTTGTTTCAAAATGTTCTCGAAGTAAGGTATTTTTATAATACTAATACGAAAAAGTTCAGAAAAAAGTCGAAGTCCCTGAAAAACGCAGACAAAATTGAAGCGCCGCTCAGTTCTCGTCAACGAGGGACTAGAAAAATCTTGAGTTCGGCCACGCGGCCATACATTTTTCAATCCAATTTTCGCCGTTTTCAGCCGTTTTTCTGTAATTTCCGTAAGAATGAAACTGTTTCATGAACTATTATATGAAGACGGCAAAAAAGTGTGTTCAAGTCAACATTGATTACACGAGCGATGGAGAAGCGACGCTGTCAGTATTGATGTGACCAATAGCCTGTTCGAAAGCTCATCATCGTTACTTCTGATGAAACTGAAAGAGTGAAATGGATTGAGATTATGGGCGACAATTTTGGCAGTAAAATTGCAGGAAACGAAATGTTTACTTCTTCTTCTCCATCGCTCGCGTAATCAATGTTGACTTGAACAAACTTTTTTTGCTGTCTTCATATAATAGTTGATGAAACAGTTTCATTCTTACGGAAATTACAGAAAACAACGGCTGAAAACGGCGAAAATTGGATTGAAAAATGTATGGCCGCGTGGCCGAACTCAAGATTTTTCTAGTCCCTCGTTGACGAGAACTGAGCGGCGCTTCAGTTTTGTCTGCGTTTTTCAGGGATTTCGACTTTTTTTCTGAATTTTTTCGTATTAGTATTATAAAAATACCTTACTTCGAGAACATTTTGAAACAAAAAAAGTAATTATAATTTTTTTGGTCGGAGTCCCCCTTTAAAGTTGTTTCTATAAAATCCCTCTAAATTTCTAGATCTATTTTTCTATAATTCTAGTCATCTGGTGCATTGTCTGCTTCCTGAATTCAGTTGGGTACAGTCGAATGGTCTATTTGCTGCCGGCGTATACTTGGCACTATGCCGTGAGTCGAACTGTGAGAAGTCCGCTTTCATGTGCCTCTGATACAGAACTTCGACCTAATATTGTCTCTTTCAGTCTGCAAAGCCTTTATCTGCATTTCTGAGAACAGTCAGTGCTAATATTTCTTTAGTGGATGTTCTGTTCTCCCTGTTTGCCCATGTATCTATCTTCAGCTACATTTACTTTGTAAGTTCCATAAACGATAGGGATTACGTTAATAATGGAATTTCAGAAAGCAGCACTGTTATCCCGAAAAGAACTGATTCTGACAATTCAAGTGGTGTGTGTTTCGGTGTTCCATGTGATTGGATATCTGACATGGGAATATTTTCCAATTCCATGGGATTTACCAATTGGAGTTTTCATTGGTCATGTTGTATGGATGGTTTGGAACGCAATTAATCCAATGCTTTATGTGCTGATTAATCCGTCAGTTTGAAAATAATCGGGAAGATTATCATATTTAAACCTGTATTAGAAGGGCCGTCTAATGAAAAGGCACTCCGAGAGGGGCTTGAGGAAATAGAAGATCATCCGTAATACAGTGCGTTGCAGGTTCTTACGTCCACCCATGTTTAGGGTCTTAACTTGAGAGCTGTAAAGGTATTGGCCTAATTTTTTGAAAATCGGATTTGACGCGCCGTAAATCCACAATATGGGGCATGAGGGTTTTTTTTCGATTTTTCGGATTTTATTCTCCCTTCCAAAAATCGTATGCCTCGAGCGAGGATCGAACTCGGGTCGATCGCTTCATACACCAGCGTGTTTTTTTTTCTGAATTTTTTGTGCGCTATTCGATCGACAAAATTTCTAGTTGTTTTTGATATATAAATAACTTCTCATTATCGCCATTTGAAAATGCTTATAATTATTTTTCTTTTTCAAAATTTTTATGATTTTCGTGAATATCGTTAGTTGTAAATAAGTGTTTCTAAAATTGCCAATTTTTGATCTTTCATTTAAAAAATCAAAATTTTGTAACTCCAAAAATGGGTTTTTGAATTAGGATAATTTTTTCCAAATTTGTCAGAAAAATATACATAAATCGGTAAGAGACATACCTATTTCCTCTAATAGAAGCCAATGGGCTTCAATTTTTCAATGAATTATTTTCAAAATAATTTTTATTCAAAAATTCAGAGATTTGACAGTTCGGAAGATAAAACTTCTGAAATTCAGTGCTATGGAGAATGCTAAATGTTTGTTCTGCAATTCTAAATTCCAAAATTCCGAATTTATGAAATTCTGTGATTCCAGGATCTCAAATTTCAAAATTCAGGAATTCTGAAATCCCGGAAGAATGATTCTAAAATTCTAAAAAACCGAAATTCTGAAATTTAGAAATTTTATAGTTCTGAAATCACAGTTCCAAAAATTCTGGGATTTTGAATTACCGTACTTTTCTAACAGAAGCCCATGGGCTACGGTATGTTCCAGCCAGAATTAATACATACTTCCAAATTTTGCGCAGTTTCTCGGATTTCCCAGTGGAAGGAATATCAGGCGTTTCAGGCTAAGCATAGAACTTCAAAGTTAATGATCTGGGAAAAAATTGAATGAAGAAAGTAATGAGATTTGCGAATATCTGCGAAATTTTCAGCTTTTTTCTCTGAAATATCATTAAGCTGAAATGCCTTGCCGAAAAACACGCGTTTCAGCCTAAGCCTAAAATAAGAAAAGAAACAGAATATTATTTAAAAAATCAGTCATAAAGTACTGAAATTCTCAAATATCAGCAAAATTTCCAGTTTTTTCACTGTAATTTTTTTATAGAAAATTCTGGTTTCTGTTTTAATAGCTTACAAGGGAACATTTTAAGTTGACCCTCTAATTTGCACAAACTGACTTCACAGGACGAAAGAGCATGTTTGAAACCCTATAAAACCGTTTTCAAAATCTGCTTCTAAAGTGCTGAAATTTCAGTTTCAGTACCAAAAATCACTTTTTCAGTGTAAAATCGGCAGTTTTCAATTTCATTTTCTCCACTCCTAGGAGGTTGTAGGACTTGAAATGTTTTGTGTTATACTCAAAACTATTGGAAATTTCCTATTTTTACATTTTTTTCAAAAAAAATTTTTCCGGAAAAGTTTTGGAAAGTTTCAAAACTCGCCTACACTTTGGGTGGACCCAAGTTTTCAAGTTTGTAAATTTTTTAAACAATAATGTAAAAATATGAAATTTCAAATAGTTCGGAGTATAACACAAGAATTTCAAGTCCTAAAACCTCCTAGGAGTGTAGCAAATCAAATTTGAAAATTGCCGATTTTACACTGAAAATGTGATTTTTTTTCAAATTCTAAAACTTGGGTGTTTGTTTGTTTTTTTTTTTTGAAAGTACCAAGAATAGGTTATAGGTACACATTCAGGGAGCTTGTTTTTAGGCATCCGTTGATTTAGAGTGCTAAGCCTGAAGACAACAACATTGTAAGTGCTGAAAATAATTTGAAGGGCTAATACAATTTTGGGGGTGGGGGTGTTTTCCTAGAGAAATGAGTCATTTTTCTCTTTTTATTTTTGAGGGGAATAAATTTGAATTCACTATAAATCGCTTCAGAAAAACGTCAGCGGATCCACGTTTCTTTTTTTCGAAATGTGGTCATATACGTGATTTTAGAAAAACCTCATGCCCCTTTTGTGTCTTCTTCGGATTCGGGACAACAAATTACATCTAATGGACAATTTTTGTGATGAACCCTTGAAAACTACCCGAGTTATCTGGAAAAAATCTGAAAATATGCGTTTTGCAACCGTTGCAAGCCAAAAAAGCTTTATTATTGAAATATAGATATCCCTGAACATATCAACAAAAATTATGAGAAATGACAAGTTTCAAAAGTGTACTGATTAGCCAGACGTTTCGTCTGTTGATCCCTTTCGCCACGTAGAGGCTCAGTACATGAAAGGGAAAATGGGTTTTCACTGGGGGAAAACACCAACACAAAACCCCTGTCTCCGAGGAGACAGTTTTCTAATTTTCAATAGTTCTCTTTCACTGCTAAAAAGCTATACGATCGCCATTAATTGTTTTTGTTCATTTGTTTCTTTTTTCTTTGATTGAGTCTTTAGCAAAAGGGGGACGTTCAGTGAAAATGAATTCACCTAGCCATGAACCACCAAACATGGCGACCCTGAGGGCCTTTTGTAACTTTTTTCGCATCCGACTAATCGGAAGAAAAAAGCAAATAAAACAATAAACAGCTTTCGCAGGGAGCTTCAGAGCAGTCAAAAAGTGCTAGTGAAAATTATCAAACTAATTCAAAAGCGGGATTTCCCAAAGGATTGTTTTTTTTCAATACGTGGAATTTTTTCAACGTGGACAGAGTTAGGGGGCGTGACCTAATATTGATTGATTTAAAGATTTATTGCGTAACGTGTGAAAAGTTTTAAAAACTCGAAAATTGAAAGTAGATTTACGTAACCCAAAAAGGGTGAAAAACTAAGGACGAACGAGTAAAAAGTAGGTTGGATAGCGCCGAAGGCGCACCATCTGTTGTTTTATTTATTGGGCAATTATCTCGGTTCTTATAAAAGATACTCGAAATTTTTCAATTAATAAAATGTTAGTGGTATAAACGGTGATAATTTTGTCATATACTTTTTTAGAATGAAAAAATTCATGCAAAGGTTATTTTGGTAGATCATGTTAAACTTTAATACCTGCCCCCAGTTGGATCCGATGCACTTTTGAAAGAAGTTGAGACAACGTATTTGGTGATCATCGATAGGTGTCGGAGCTGGGACCATGATTGCTCTTTTGATGCCTTGATCATCTTTGAGACATCTCTAACCCGTCCACTTGATGACTTCAAGTTTCAGCACCTGGTTGATACAATTACACAACTTCAAAAAGTTGGAAACGTTAAGATCGTGAGAGTAGAATTTGAGCTGATCCTGTTTTTTTTCGTTAATTTTCGGATGATAGCTTTTTGACAGCTTTTTCCTCCATACAGCTGCTCCAACTGCCCCGATTGAAGCTTTTCCAGCATCATTCGGCAGAAGCTCCCATGATACAAACTCAAAGAAAGAGAAACACGTAATGAAACAACTTTTTATAGTGATTTTAGTTGTACAGAATCAAAATTGGACAGCTTCGTCTTCGCTGGAGGTCGTGACCTACTGATTTTTGAAGTGGATGTATAAACTTGCAACAGTTGCAAGATGCGTATTTTCAGCTCTCAAGTTATGACCTGTAACGCACTGTAGAAGGGCCGCAATCAAAATTCGCTGCTTGAAATTCAAACTTTCCGTGCGTTTCCAGTAAAAAATTTTCCAGAAATTTGTTGAAACTATTCTTTTTTTCAGTTTTGGTGAATAATCATGAGTTTTGAACAAAAAATTTCGGAAAAATGACCAGAAAAAAGGGCCCCCTCTAATTGAAGGGCATTAGAAGAGCCCATCGGAGGTGCCTTGAAAAATAAAAGTATATCTTCTAATGCAGGTTTTACAGTAATTCAAACCTTATGAGTTTCAGAAGGATCCGTAGTCTGGTGTTAGCTTCAATTGGAAAACAAACGGAAGTCAGTGGGCGTACACTGTTTGTGGCTTCACATGTTTCAACTGTTCGTCAATCTGGGACCAAACTATGATCATGACTTTAATAAAACTTAGAAATTCAAAATCAATAAATTTTTTTGAAAAACAAGAGTCTAAACATTGATTTTTGTAAATTTTGCAACTGAAAAGATACAACCAAAGGTAATAAAAAGTAAGGCATTCCCCCGCTATAAAAATGTTATCAAACGGTCAGCCAACCATCAATTTGAGTGTTTTTGGGTTGTTTCATACAAACACAAAATATTTGTCTTCTTTTTTATCTTATCAATTCTCTCTTCAAAATACAGAAAGGAGAGCAACACTGTTCAACATTTTTCTGTCTGCAGTTTTTCATTGAAAAACTTTCTAATTTCTGAGTGTATTTCCAAGATTTCAAAGTTCATAAAATGACACCCACACAAATAGATTCTAAAAACTACTTAAAAATGCATACGAGGTACACATTTTAGGTCTCATTTTTCTTCCTGTGATTATCCTCGGTTTCTCTTCCCCTTTTTCTTTTTTTTGGTATCTTGTTTTTTCTCGCTTTCTCTTCTCTTGTAAAACAATAAAGCATTCGTTCAAAATGTGGCATATTGAGTTCTACAAGACAATCCATCTGATTCAGTACATTGACGAATTGTGCGAAATGACCGACGGAAAGACTCTTGGTAAGTTAGCTTTTTGATAGTTTGTTGACTGTGAAGGCAAAATTTGTATGGCAAAATTTGTATTGCTGTATTCTGAGTAGAAACTCAAGTAGATTCACAACTATTCATAAAATTAGCCTATCTAGTGAAATCCTGAAAAACCCTTCATTGAGAAAAACCCATCGAAAAAGGATTTGCCCGGAAATCTTGATTTCTCTAGATTTTCCGTTTTTTAAGGTTTTTCGAGATATTCTGGGAAAAAAATCAACAAAATCTTTGAAAAATCTGTAAAAAAAACGGAAAAATAAGAAAAAAATTGAAACTGAAGGAAAAATCCCAAAAAATTTCTTATCAGAAAACCGCATTGAAAGAAATGTGATATTCAAAAGTTTTAAAAAATTCGTATCCGAATTTTTCATGGACTTTTTTCGATTTTAAACCATTTTCTTATTGAATCATCCGAATTTTTCCCATAGTAAAAATATTTATTCTGAAATACCACAAAAAAAGTTGAAATTTTTATACCTTTTTGAATTATACTTATAAAATCAAGAAAACAGTCAAACTTAGGGCAATTCATACTGCAAATAAACTTCATATCAAATCATATTCCAGCAATCATATCTGTATCCGACAAGACTGGTCTTCTTCCCCTTGCCGAAGGTCTTGTCTCAGCTGGACTTGTTCTTGTGGCATCCGGAGGAACTGCAAAGGCAATTCGAGATCATGGAATCAATGTTCATGACGTGGCAGATATCACAAAGTTCCCAGAAATGCTCGGAGGAAGAGTCAAAACTCTGCATCCGGCAGTTCATGGTGGAATTTTGGCCAGAGATTCCGAGAGTGATCGAAAGGATTTAGAGGTGGGGGAATAAAGATTAAAATTGGAACTTCCGGGAGAAGAAGTAGAATCTTTGTACTCGATAAAGAGAGATTTCACTCTACTTACGTTAATCGAATTGAAATTGAGTAAAATAAGGGGAAAGAAGAGCGACAAAAATTTGGTCCTTTCGTTGTGGATGAAGACGGCTTATCTCGTGAGAATGAAAGAAGAAGAAGACAAAGAGATCAAAAGAGTCCTTTCTTTTCTTTTTTCAACTCTTCCTTCTTCATTTTGTCAACGACTTCAATTTTGTTGTGCTGATGGTTGAGTGCTGATTTCGGAGTAGAAGTTAAAAGTTTAGATTTTTAAGAAGATATATAAGTTAGGATCTCTGGTATAACTATGTTTCAGACAAATATTATGTAGGATTAATCTTCAATTTCCAAATTATAAAGTAGAATATAATATCATTCAATAGAGAGGATACTGTTTCTGGATTCTTCAAAACTCTTTAGAAAAGAACAATTCATTCAATAACTCGTTTTAATGGATAACAAAAGTATGAATAGCATTGGACAGTCCTATATTTTTTCTGCTTTTTGACAAATTGATATTCATTACATATTTCTACAAGGTGGCAGTACAGATACCTGGACTGGAGTTCGTAGTATCATAAAATTTTTCAAGATACTTATGTCTAAAGATATGCCCATTTTATCAGTCCGTATAATTGTCCAACATCATCTGAAAAAAAACTTTAGACTTAGCTCGTGTTCAGTTTCTAACAAAAAACAACCCATATTATGACGTTTTGCTCAAAACAAAAAAAGAACACTGATTGAGGTTATTGTGCACCCAACTATCCTTCTGCCTACGTGTGAGATAGATACCGCCCGTGTCGATTGAATTACCTCAAAACCCCACACCCATCTTCCTTCCTCTATTTACTTCAAAATTCGATTTGTTTCTTCTTCTTCCAAATATACATTCTCTTCCAGACCCACAACATCTCCTTCGTTTCGATTGTTGTCTGCAATTTGTATCCATTCAAAAAAACAGTTCAACAATCGAATTGCTCAGTCGAAGAAGCCGTTGAGAACATTGACATTGGTGAGTTCATTCGGCTGGAAAAACTGAATTATTTAGCCCTCATTTAATGTTGCCATCTTCTTTTTCTTCTTCTTCTTCCTATTTATTTTTCTGGATTTCCTCTGATCCTCGGTGCACTTGACTTATTTCTGCTCCCGTGACTGCCTTTTCTTATCTTCTCAGGACCAAACAGCAAAAAAATCTTCTTTTTTTTCTTTTCAGTTGTTGTTTTTTTCCAAATTATAATCAAATTTTCAGAGAAGGAACAAATCAAAAAGTAGTAGAAAAATATATTTTATGTTTTTGTATACTTTTCCGTGGGGGTGGATGAGAAAAATTGAGAATTTTTTGAAGTTTAAACAATCTATGGTCCAGTTTCTCTCGATATGTAAATATTTCCAAGTTGAGAAAAGTTCCACCTCAAACACTTAAGTTTAAATGTATAAAAACCCATTTCAACATAGTGGCGTAGCTTTCGCAAGTTGAGTTTTCTAGGCATTGTAAATGCCGTAAAAACTCGGAAGGCCTCCCGAACAGCCCACTTTCAACCCATATATCTTGGGTGCTGTAAGAGATATCAAAAAATAGTCAACTGATAAAATGGTTATCATAATATCAATAATATTTTGTCAATTGACCACTTTTTATATCTTTTACAGAAACCAATATATATGAACTCGAAATTGGCTGTTCGGGATGCCTTCTACAGATTAGAGTGTTAGGCCATCAGGTTAAATAGCTTAGAAAGCACACCAGGTCAATATTGTGCAATTTCAATTCCTGGGGCAAAAAAAATTGAAGGCTTAGAAAATCCTTATTATTATCGCTGTCTGAGCAAAAAAAAGGTTAGAGAGTATTTTTCGCAGTCTGAATACGGTAGCAAGCTCGAAGCGACAAGTCTAAATAGCACATATTTGGTGGAGACGCAGAGGTAATCTTTCTGCGTCTCAACCTTTTTTTTCTCACACAACAATAATAGGAAAGTTTTTTTTTCGAATTCACTCAACCTTATTACTTCTTAACCAAACTACGAAAAACGCTCGACCTACCGTAACCCAACCACTTCCTCTTGATTAACTTCCTCCCTTTTCTGACGCAAGTCCATCGAGCATCCACAGTTCTTTGACCTGATTCTACTTCCATTTATTCTTCAATTCATTTCCATTGTCCTTACCACTTCATCCATTTGTGTGCCCTTTTGTCTCATCTGTTTCTCTTGGCTTTTTACCTTTTTACCCTTTTAGGCTCCGCCTCTTTGTTTTTCAGGAATCTGGAAATATTGTTTCTCTGTCATTCTTATCCAATTTTTTAGATTTGTTATTGTGAATATACGAACACCAGAGGTTACATCCATAAACTTGGAATACACCCGAGAGGCGCCTTATAAAATATCCCTAGTTCCATATTTTTTTTATTTTCAGGAGGCGTCACACTTCTTCGAGCAGCCGCCAAAAATCACGAACGTGTCAGTGTGATCTGCGATCCTGCTGACTACGACAACATCCTCTCGGAAGTAAGTTAATTTTGAAAGGTATTTAGATGACAAGATTACGGTAGCTTCACCTTTTTGAGGGCAGAGTGAATTTCAACACAAAAACATGAAAAACAGTTGACATTCAGAAATTGACAAATAGCTGAAAAACTAGGAATTTTTGAAAAATTCTTCGAATGCAATGTTCTCAATCTAGGTCACACCGTCCAAAATTTTCAAAGTGATCGGAAACTTGACAGCCGAAATCGAGGCTCCTGAAAATGGTCAAAATGGCCAAAAAACGAAAGAAAATACGTTTTTGTATGATTTATTTGCCAGTACTGTAGGTACCAAACCGTTAACTTTGAGCTCGTTTATCTCGGTTGCCTTGGAAGACGTAAAAATTTTGTCAACTGATAAAATATTGGTGATTTTATGAGAAACAATTTATCAGTGAACAAACTTTCGGGATCTCTCACAGGCATCGAGATAAATCACAGGCATCGAGATAAAATTAAAAGTTCGGGCCCTTCTATTACAGGTTTTACGCAGTATGATGTCTACAAAAGTTGGACTTCATCATTTTTGGGTTAAACAAGAGCCTAGTTTATTCAACTCAATTCTATAGAAACCGTCTAAATCCATTTGTTAACCCAAAACTCAAAAACCTCAAAGCGGCCTAAAAGAATGAATGAAATATTTTGACACGCTCGGTATGTTCCTTGGGAGCCATATATTTTGACTAGAAGACAACAAGAAAAAAGGATTCCTCACTTCTTTTTTTTTTGGGAAGATCTCAAGAGAACCCCCTGAAAAATTGAGGTTATAAATGAACAGCAGACGACGTCATAAGTTTTTAGAAGTTAAGGTTTTTCTATTTCCCCCTTCTTGCTTCTACTTCTTTTTGTTCTTCATATTTTCTGTTTTTTTCCAACCTCCCCAATAAATTGGTCCTTTGAGAATTTAAGAACACAGAAGATACACTCATGATTTTGTTGGAAAATTCCAAGAAAACGAATAATTTTCAGTTGAAATCCGGAGGAACTACTCGCGAACGTCGACAACTTCTCGCCTTGAAGGTTAGTTTTAATTCAAATTTAAGTTTCAGAAAAGGATGTCACCCAATCCAAAAATCTTTCAAACATCTCTCATTTTTCAAAATTCCTAAATTTCTCTTTTTCCAAAAGATGAGTGGGAAATGAGTGGGCAAAGGGACACAACCCGGTAATAAACTTGGTGCAGAAAACGAGAAGACTGATTTTATAGAGCTTCGAACTGAAGAAAAACCAGCAGAAGAGAAGGACGTAACAAAAACCTCGTTGACGCCTTCCTTCTTTTTTTCTACTTCTTCTCTTTCGTATTTCATTTGACCAAAAAATTTTTTGGGTTTCACTCAATACCCGGTTTCAGATCAATCCATCCAGTTAGTACGTCTAGACTCAATTTTCTGAATTTATGTCGAAATAATAGTCTCAATCAGAAACAGTTTTTCCAATTTGAAATAAAACTTTGAAAATTTTCCAATGATTTAACAATTTTTCCTGGTAACGAATATATTGTAACGAATATATTTTTCATTTACCACAAAACCTGTAATAGAAGGACCCAATTAACTTTTAACTTTGAGACGCTATATCTCGGTACCTGCTAAAGATACAAAGAAGTTGTCAACTAATGGATTGCTCATCATCATATCGGAAACATTTTGTCAGTTTACAGATTTTTGGCATTTTTCATAGGAACCGAGATAATTGAGCTGAAACTTGGTAGTATGCGAGCCCTTCCATTACAGGTTTTACGGTATCATGAAAAAGCAACTAGCTAGTACAGTAATTTTTCCCGCACTAGTTTTTCAAAAACTACAAAATAATCAGTATTTTGATGTGGGATTTTTAGATCTTCATAATTGAACCCTCATATAAATCTACATATACCGTAAACACTAATAGAAGGGCACCATATATTTTCTCTTTGAGCTAAATTATCTCAATTTCTATAAGAGATATTAAAAATTTGTCAACTAGTAAATCGTTTACCATAATATCACCAACATTTCATCAGTGGACAAATTTTTTATATCTTTGAGAGAAATTGAGATAATTGAGCTCAAAGTGAAAATGCCCGTCTGTTAGAGTGTTTAATAAGTTAGAGTTTTTTTTGTAAGACATATTAGTTTTTCGATTTTATATTAAACAACCAGCTAACTGGTGCGACTTTTGGCGAGGTTTAATCTAGTTTTTACTGGTTTGTCGCTCTGCTCTTTACCTTTTCGAGTTGAAATGTGTGCTCTTCCTACAAGTTTATCTGAAACATTTCAAAATATTTAAAATCCAACATCTTCCAAACTACAGAATTTTCTGTTCTAAACTCATCGATCATGTATTTTCAAACCTTCTAACGTCATCACTTTACTTCCATTTACTTTTTTCCTCCTTTTTTTCTTTCTTCCAACACAATTTCATCAATTATTCCCAAAAGTTCACCCGCCTCTTCCATCACCTTTCCGATTCTGTTCACCCATTCTTTTTTTTTCGGCTCCCTCCGAAATTTTGAACCCACTCACTTCTGTTTTTGTTTTCCCAAAAAGGAAATTCCGAAAAAAATGATCGAAAATGAATTTATTAAATCTTTGAACCACTCTCTTCTTCTTCTTGTTCTTCTTCCTCTTCATCTCATCCATCTTGAAACAAACAAAAAAAATGGAACCCTCTTTCTTTCTTTTTTCTCACTTCAAATTTACAAAGTAACAGAAAGATGGAAACTTAGAAAAGTGGATAGTGGGCGGGAGAATAGAAAGAAGAGAGGTTTATCAATCTCACCGGGTTTTTTGAGCTCTACTGGGAGACGTAATTCGTCAGTCTTCAGAATATTTGCACGTCTTCTGCTGCAGAATTTGTTCCTTATCGGAATACTTCCAGCTATTTGGGTTAAAGTCAAGATCTTTTCCAGGTTCTCAGCCATTTATTAATTTGGGCCCGTCATTTAAAAAATGCTGAAAATTGTATCTGAAAAGTAAGGGCCCGGCCCGGTAGGCCCGAAAATTTGGAAATTTCAAAAATTTCTTTCAAAATTTCGTTGTTAAAATAAAGTTTTTATTGACACTCCATTTTCGGCGAGCCGAATATCTGACAGAACATTTTTTATTTTTTCCGGGCCGGGCCTCGAAAATTCTGAAAAAAGGCCTGACCCGTTGCAAGTAGAATTATTGGAATTTATCGAATAAGATTGCCCAAATCGTCTTATTCACTTTTCCCATAACTTCTTTCACTAGTCAGACTAGATTGACGAGAAAGTTCCGTTTTTGCCTCAGGCAGTCCTCTTAAAATCAGAAGAAGAAATTGTGATCGTTGCTATTCTCAAAGAAACAGATGACCGTTTTTACAACCAAACCGTATACTTTGAGCTAAAGATATAAAAAAGTTGTCAACTGATAAAAAATAGGTGATATTATTTTGAGTATTTTATCAGTTGACAAGTTTCTGATATCTTTCACAGGAATCGAGATAATTGAGCTCCAGCTAAACATTGTCCTTTTATCACAGGTTTGACGGTAGTAACCATGACGAATATGCGTTTTCTCAGAACTAGGAAATTCAATTTTCATTCAAAAAATAAAACAAAATGTTTCAGCTTTCCAGAAAATTTGTATTGAAACTTGCTCTGACATTCTGTCAGATGTCAGATAAGACCAAAGAAGAAGAAGATTGTGACCCCGTCTTCTCCTCAACTTGACACATCTTTTCCCGATTAATTCCAGTGTGCTCATTGCTCTTTTACTCAAAAGAATTTCCTGTCCTGTCCTCAGCAATTTCCGCTTTTTGTTCTTCGTCACAGAGGAACTGATCGTCGGGATCTTTTGAATAGAAACACGAAATTTTGTTTTCCGTCGATTCAATTTGTGCCGCCAGAAACCTGTCTTTTCTTCTGATGTCTTTTGTTGTTTTTATGTCTGAAAACAATCCCGAATTATCAGATTTAGGGAAAAGAAAAGAAAAGAAGAAGATCTGGTTTCGTAGAATCTTTGTCCAATGCTCACCAGACTGAAACTTCTTCTATTTCAGCTGAAAAGCTGAAATGCATTAGTGATCCCTTGTTCTTCTGAAATTTTCTGCGTCAGATTTATCTAGAAAGGGTTCTCTAGACTTACTTAACCAGATAGTGATACATTGAAGGCATATCTTTGTATGTGTCGAAAATTCCGAGTTTCAAAATTTTGGAATTTCAGAATCTTCGGAATTGGAAAATTTCTTAACTTGGGAATCACACTTTCCCATTACAAATGCGCCAAAAAATTGCTGAAAAATTAACCAACTGATTTCGGAAACTCAAAAAAAAATATTAAAATTCCGCTCGAGACCCGTAAGGAAACTTTTCGCTTGCGCCTTCGACATACCGTAGTCCAAAAAGTTCGACCAGAATTTCATTCCGAAAATGGCCGGAAGGGGGTACGACGAATTCGAACGTTTTCAAAATCGAACAGATCTAAAGTCGAACTGATTCAAATCAGAACAGTGTCTTTCTCGAACAAGTATCAAAACAGAACAAGGATAAAATCGAACTGTTCTAGTTCGAACTGTGCACTGTCGAACTGTCCAAAATTGGAACGCTGTTAGCCGCCGAGCGCGCTTGCATTTCTCTTCAAT